TTTTTTTTTTTTTTGCCTGAAGACTTTTATCCAGGTTCTTTTTTGTCACCTACTGGCCACGTGACCTTATAAAGTCACATAATCTTTCTTAGCCTCAGGGACATATGGGGAACATGTAACCAACTTTATAGTTTTGTGCTAAGGATTAAAAGAAATGCTTCACAAAGTGCCTGGTAAAGTATTATGCATTGTAAGGGTATTGTATGTTACCATTACAACATTTCACCCCCTATTTCTTTTCCCTAACTATCTTTGGCTGCTATATATATTTCACGTGTAAATGTAAACCAGTTGATATGAGATTTTTCCACAGTCGTTTGGAAGCAGTGGCTGAGCTTTGTTAAATTAATCTCTGTCCTAGCTTGGAAGGGAGAGAAATGGACCTGGATTCTTCCCAGTTTGGGTCCCTGGCTAAGAGTCTAATCCATCAGCTTCCAGGGAAGACTTTTGCAGTAGGGTTATTCATATATTTGGAAATCTAATGAGCTTCAGCTTGAGTAGCAAATTAAATACTGAAAGGCTGAAGCTACAAAAAAGGAGCCAAGTCTCTTCCCAAAGATCATTTTTCTTTTCTTGGGTCATTCCACATCCAGGCTTTCTGGCACATCTGGGCCATGGCAAAGGTGCACTGATCCACAGCGAAGTCTTTGGGGAAAATGGTGGCCTTTCCTCCTTTGCCTTGCCTCTGAGCTGATGCTCTGGTGGGGCTACTTGCAGCTGCAGGGAAGAGCTGGTTTTCTGGAAAAGCTTGGACCATTTTCTCTGGATCACACAGAAGGGCTCTGGCATGATACTGAAAAGGTACAGGTCAGACTAAAGAAATATCAAAGGGAAGGGGGTTGGTCAAAGGAGCTAGAGAAGTCAAGGAAAATTCCTTCAAGATTTGCTTATTAACAAATGCTTAAGTTCCCCAGCAGAAATTCCTTGTTCTGGCACTTTGGAAGCCACTGCTGCCATGTTGTACAAGGTCAGGGCCAACATTTCCGTTGTGCTCCATGAGGTGTCCGAGGGGCCGCCATTCACATAGACTACAACGTAAAGGGTCCTTCAGGCTTTTGCGCACTAGGATTTTCCTGTAACCAAATCGCAAAATAGCCAAACTTCTGGTCACAAACAAAGCCTCGTTTTTTGTTCTATTTTCTCCTTACACTGTACCAATTTCTTCCACAAACAAACCAATGAACAAAGAAAACATTTTTAAGCCCTACCCAAATTTCGGGAAAGAAAGATGATGTAATGTTTCCAGATGTGCACCATTTAAAATTCCAAAGTGTGCAGTGGACCATGTATTTATGGGGAAAGCAGATTTGTAGTTAAAATGTATTGTTGAGCATTCATCTTCTTTCCCATTTAATTGGGGTGTAATAATTCCCAGTACCTGTTATGTCCAAAGAGTCTTAGGAAAAATATAAAAGAAAATGGTACTTTCCTTTTAAATAAATTCCAAAGTCATCTCTTTGCCTCAGGCTCTCAAGATAAAAGACAGTGACTAAGTAATTCAGGCAGTAGGTCTGGTGGCTCTGACAGAGGCTGCCTCAGAAACACCGCAGGAAGAGAAGCAGAAGGAGACTCATAGTCAAGGAAAGCATGGACTTTCTCTTCACCTGTACCGTTAATCACAGCAGGGAAAACTGGAAAGTCACCGTTATCAAGCAGGAGCTGTGACTGCGTGGATAGAAACAGGTCGTCTTCATTATAACCTTTTTAAAAACCGAAATGGTATTCCCATAATAAACAGTTCACTGCTCAAGAAACCAACTCCCCCCATCTCCCACATGCTTAAAGAAAATTCTACTTAAGACATCTTTTTTTTTTTTAATGTTTATTTTTGAGAGAGAGAGAGAGAATGAGTAGGGGAGGAGCAGAGAGAGAAGGGACAGAAGATCTGAAGTGGGCTCTGTGCTGACAGCAGTGAGCCTGAGGTGGGGCTTGAACTAATGAGCCATGAGATCATGACCTGAACTGAAGTCCGAAGCTTAACCGACTAAGCCACCAAGGTACCCCTCCTTTGGATATCTTAATTTAATTCACGCTTCACCTCTGGTTGGCTTTGTTGAGGCCTACATATCCCGCATGGTTTCTGATACAAATATCACCTTTGATTTCAGTGCTCATGTTGGTTGATTAGTTAAGCTGGTGTTAGTAGTAAGTGATTAAAGTAGCAACATTTTACACTTCATCCAATAGTCCTCAAAAATATCCATAAAGTTAATTTTCCTGCTGGCTTCTAAAAATATAGCATTAAATTTGGGGGGGGGGGCATCCATTAAATGTACTGGGCTTAGCACTTCTCTTCCCTTGTCTTCATTGTTCTTGTTTAATGTCTGAAACCTGCTCTAAAGACTTCACATTTGGGGGCTGTCTGGGTGGCTCTGTTGGCTAAGCGTCAGACTCAGGTCGTGATCTCACGGTCCGTTAGTTCGAGCCCTGCATTAGGCTCTCTGCTCTCCGCACAGAGCTTGCCTCAGACCCTCTGTCCCCGTATCTCTCTGCCCCTCCCCTGCTTGTGCTCTCTCTCAAACATAAACATTAAAAAAAAGACTTCACATTTGTAAGCCATCTCAAATTTATTTTAGCATAAGGCAGATGGCCAATTCATATGTATATGTTCATATATCTAAGGGTCAAACAGAACACATCATACAAAGTGCCACCAGCCTAGCAAAGTGTGTCTTTGGGATGACAGTCACTCTTTTCTTGTTGCCAATGCTTCAGACACTCTTCTTCAGGATTCCATAGTGCCTACCATGTTGCTAAACCTACGTGCTCCTTGATAGACCTATTTATTAAAATAATGAGCAATGTGTCCCATTAAGAGTTTTCCAACAGTGTGACAATGTGATGGAGCGAGAGAAGGAAGACAGATGTGCTTCTGATAATGTTACCACTCTCGGGAGTAGAGAAAGCGGACCCAGTGTAAAAAGCCACTAAAGGAAGTGACAGCAGTAAAGACAGAGATAACAAAAACCCGGAAAATATTTTTGTTATAGGACCTCAGCAGACAAAATGCTATGGGGAGAAAGGTCACAGTTTGGCTTCAACAAGAAGTAATTTGAAAGACAATGATGTGAGTTTATTTTTGAGTAGGGGGCTTTGATGCCTGGGCAGGAAATAGAGAGCAGGTCTTCTCAGGAGGCACTGAGATGCTTGAGAACTGCCATTGCCCAGAGGCTATCATTAAGACCACGCAGACTCAGGCTTAGAAATCCAGGTCCACAACCTATTAGCTCTGTGACCTTGGCCAAATTATCTAACCTCTGCAACCCTCATTTTCCTTCATGGTGACGTACTAAATGGCTCCCGTGTGAATAACAAATGTCCCAGTCTTGCCCTGGTAAGCTTCTTGTGAGGCACTGTGGTATTACCCTTCGTCTGCTTCCCCTTCCTGGGGAGGATTGCACGTACCCCCTCCACTGAGGGTGAGCTTGGCCACGTGCCTGTCTTTGACCTTTGAAGTATCAACAGACATGCCGTGCGTTGCTTCAGGCAGAAACTTGAAGAGTCAGTGAGTGCTTTGCCCTAATATCTTATGTCTTTGCCATGAAGACTGGTAACATTCCAGGTGGTGGCTGCTGCCTCAGCATGGGTCCCAGAGCGAGGTCAGTGACAAAAAAATGGAAACAGAGCATAAGTGAGATATGAGCCAAGCCACTGAGATTTGGGGACTGTTATTGTGGTACAAAAATGAATTTAACCTGACCGATAGAGGACTTTTTAAATTCAGGAAAAGCTTTTATAATCCATCTTTGCACACTTGTAACATGTGAAGCATTCACGTGTGGGTTATATTATAGACTTTGGCAAACAGTCTATTGATGCACCATGCTTTAGTAGTCTGTAAAGTGCTCTCATGCTGTGGTCTGAATATTGGTGTCCCCTCAAACTCATATGTTAAATACTAACCCCTAATGTGACAGTATTAGGAAGTGGGCCCTTAGGAGAATAGGTCATGAGGGTAGATACCTTGTGAAGGGGATTAGTGCCTTTATAAAAGATGCTCCAGAGAGATCTCTACCTCCTTCTGCCCTGTGAGGATACAATGGGACCAGAAGGGACCCTCACCTGACTATGCTGGCACCCTCATCTCAGTCTTCCACCTTCCGGAACTATGAGAAATAAATTTCTGTTGTTTCAAAGCTGCCCACTCTTGTGATATTTTGTTATAGCAGCTGGAGCAGATGAATACAACTTATGTGTTTTGATGAGAAGTTGCTATTTCTCCAGACTATTTACTAAAAACTACATGTAAATACGTTCCGACTCCGAAGGATTGAGATTTTATCTAATTCCCAATGCTACATTCTTCCTCTTGTTTTTCAAAGCATTTCTTATTCAAATCTGTTTTCAAAATATACTAAAGATCTCCTTACTATCACCTAATTTCATGCTTGTTTCACCTTAGTAAGTACTCCCTCCATATCTCACCTCGAGCATCACTGCCTTCCAAAGAATCTATCTGTAACTACTTCACCATCTTCCCCAACCTAGAAGCTTTCTTTCATAATATCTATGTTCCTTTCCTGCCCCCCCAGCATTTATCTCAATTTGATTGTATCATTAGCATCATTATTGGATTAATTTCTCCCCCACTAGACTGAAAACTCCCCGGGACCAGGGAGTGTATCTAATTTTGCACATTATCATGTATAGGGTCTCAGCTCCACACCTAAGCACTTAGTGAGCCCTCAATAAATCTCAATCTATGTTTATTTTACTTTATTTTTAAATTTTTTCCTACATTTTTTTAAAATGGATTGTAAAAATTTAAATTTTGCTGAATGAGGATATGGATTAAAAAGTCAAAGTGGAAAAGTGGGGGAGAAGGTCCAAATATCTACTCAGGAAGTAAATAGCATTTATCATACCAAAGGTACAGACTTTCCTCTTTTCTTCTCCTTCCATACAGAAGTCTTATTAAGGGTGTTGATAAATGTGAAGGTTTATTTTGTTCCTTTCCGAGAGCCAGGAACCTCGTTAGAAGAAGAACTGAACCATGTAATTAGCCTACACTAACTATTGCCATGAATATTGCTGTAAGTTGAAGCAATTTAAAAAAACAGACTTGGAAATGGTTTTTCCATGAATGCAGAATTTTCTGTTAATAAAACCCACACAGGAGAGGTGACAATGGCAAACAGAAATCTGCCAGTTATTTTTGAAAATGTCAACTGACAGAGCATCAGATGATGGTTCCTTTGTGGGAGGGTGCTGATGGAACTTTCTCAAGCACAATAACACACACGCACACATCAAGGGGATGTAAACAGCTATCCTGGGAGGTGGGTGAATTTACTGCATGAAACTGGGATGTCCCAGAAGGATTTTGCCTTTGTGAGCATGGAGATGAAATCCATCAGTAGTGAGGTCTCAGAAGGCTCAGCATAGTCCTTGATGATGCCAAAAACACTGTTTACAAAATTGAAGCTTGTCTAGGGTCAGAGAGAAAGAAGACAAGAGTACACATACTTCCAAGGGTAAGGAATAAACAATTTTTCTAATTTTTTAACATTTATTTATTTTTGAGAGACAGAGACAGAGCATGAGCAGGGGAGGAAGAGAGAGATAGGGAGATACAGAATCTGAAGCAGGCTCCAGGCTCTGAGCTGTCAGCACACAGCCGGACATGGGGTTCAAACTCATGAACCTCGAGATCATGACCTGAGCTGAAGTCAGAAGCTTAACTGACTGAGCCACCCAGATGCCCCCTTCTGGTTAATTTTAAAACATGGCTACTGGTACCTTCCTGCTTTGACTCACCTGACTTAACTCTTCTAGGTTTGCAAAAAGTCTCTATAAATCTACATCCAGAAGATATTCATGAGTTTGTAGATATTTTAGTGTATTCATGAAGATCTTTTTAGAAAATGCAATGTACATTACTTTATATTTTTCAATTTTGAAACTTGCCCTTTGGGAGAACATTGAACATAAACCTGAGTATAACTTTACAAAACAAGGTAGCAACCAGTATTTTCAAGGTTTAAGAATTTTACTAAATACAAATGATGACATTTAAGCTCCATAGAACACATATGGGAAAGGTGCTGTTCTGTACGAAGTCGCTGTTGCTTGCATGAGCCCCCTCAACAGTCCTGCTGAACATAATCTGTTCAAATGGGCCTTCTCTGCTTCTGGGGGCCAGAAAAGTCTCAAAGGTTCTCTTCCTGCCATGGCACTAACTTGAGACCAAAACAACATTCACACTAAATTTTCATTTATTCCTTCCTTGGCAAAAGACCCAAATATCCTGTACATTCAGGAAACTAAAAATAAACAATTAATGAGTTAATATCTGATAACAGGGAAGATGTTTAGATTTGGAGAAAGGCATAAATATTAATGAGACATTAAGGGAGTCTTTATGTTATTATTACTTGATCAGATGCTTTCATACAATAGGAAAGCAACAGCAAATCAAGAAGGAACTATAGTTCTCCAGATAACTTGCCCTCATTCTATGCACTAGAGATCAATTTATTGAAACAGGACTACTTTGTAAAAATATGATGAAACATTCAAAGGGGCCAATTATTTCAAAGAGCTTAGGTGTGAAAAAACTGGACTTCAGACCACCAGTCTTCTCCAGTTTCCATTTTCATATTAATTAATGCAGTGGAGGTGCCTGGGTGGCTCAGCCGGTGGAGCGTCCGGCTTCAGCTCAGGTCATGATCTTGCAGTCCGTGAGTTCGAGCCCCGCGTCGGGCTCTGTGCTGACATCTCAGAGCCCGGAGCCTGTTTCAGATTCTGTGTCTCCCTCTCTCTCTGACCCTCCCCATTCATGCTTTGTCTCTCTCTGTCTCAAAAATAAATAAAGGTTAAAAAAAATTAAGTAATGCAGTGAATGGTTCTAGAACTTGCATCAGAATCACCTAGAGGCCTTGTTAAATCAGACATTAGTGTCAACCCCCAAGTATCTGATTCGGTAGGTCTCTGATGGGGTCTGAGAATATATATTTCTAGTAAGTTCCCAAGTGATTCTGATGTTGCCAGTGTAGGGACCCCCACTATGAGAACCACTGACTTAGAGCTTCCCAAAGTTCATGTACAGGCAAACCTCATTTTCTTGCACTTCACAGATATATCATTCTTTACAAATTGATGGTCTGTGGCAATCCTGTGTTGATCAAGTCTATTGGTGCCATTTTCCAATAGCATTTACTCACTTTCTATCTCTGTGTCACATTTTCATAAATCTCATGTTTCAAACTTTTTCATTATTATTATATTTTGTATGGTGATCTGTGATCCATGATCTTTGATGTTACTATTGTGATTGTTTTAGGGTGCCACGAACTACGTCCATATAAAAGGGTGAAGTTAAAATCGATCAATGTTGTGTGTGTTCTGACTGTTCCCCCCAAATCAGTCATTCCCCCCATCTCTCTCCCTCTCCTCTGGCCTCCCTATTCCTTGAGACACAACAATATTGAAAGTAGGCAATTAATAGTCTTACAGTGGTCTCTAAGTGTTCAAGTGAAAGGAAGAGTCAATTGATGTGACAAACTTCATTGTTGCTTTGAGAAATTGTCACAGCCTCCTCAGCCATCAGCAACCACCACCCTAGGCAGTCAGCAGCCATCAACACTGAAGCGACACCCTCTACCAGCACGAGGGTTATGACATGCTGAAAGCTCAGACAGATGGTGGTTAGCATTTTTTAGCAATAAAGTATTTTTAAATTAAGGTAAACCACTGTTTTTTAGACATACTGCTATTGCATACTTGATAGACTACAATATAGTGTAAATATAACTTTCATATGCACTGGGAAACCCAAAGATTCATTTGACTTGCTTTATTGCCATATTCACTTTATCATGGTGGGCAGGAACCAAACCCATTATATGCCTTGAGTATTGTTGTCTGGAAATCTGGAAACATCCAAGTATTTAAAAACCATAATTGTAAGAGACAGAAGTCATTGCTACAGAATCTTTGAGAAAATTTAGAAGAAATAGTATTTCTGCTCTAAGATTCTTAACCTTATACAAAATTTTGCCACTTAAAAAAATAGTGAGTCCTCTGGTAGATTTATTTTACCACTTGACTTACAACAAATAACTTTGGGAAACTTGTATTGATTGTGTAAAGGAAGATATGTATCCTCTAAATACACTGGGACATTTGAAAATAAATAAACTCAAATTGACCTTAAAAAAACCCCAGAAAATGCTAGTTTGAAAAGCTTGTGTAGTTTACAGTGGGATTAAATAATTCTTATGCTGTTTATTAGGGCAAGGGCGGTAGCATAGCTCAGGGGGTTAGTGCTCCATAGTGAACATCTATTGGTTACCACCCAAAACTCCCCTTCCCTAACATCTTCTGGTTTTCACCTCAGGATCTACTCGTCCCTATGCTTCGGATGTGCCATGTATCACAATGACCTTACTCTTAGAGATGGGTCTTCATTGTTTTAAGCCAATTAGCACTTTCCTTCCTCATCAGAGTGGTTGGTTCAGGAGAGGGCATGTGACTTAAGCCAGTCCAATCAGAATGAAAATGAAGACTTTGGCTATGAATGCTGAGAAGAGATCTCCTCTGTCCCTCTCTCTCTCTCTATGGCCTCAAGGACAGCAGCCAACTGTGACTATAACAGAAGCCTGTCATAAGATGAGACTGATGCTATGGAAAGCAGGGATAAGAGATGGAAAGAAATTTTTCCTTGGTTTTGAATTCCTTGATCAAACCAACTTTGAACTCTCTCCCACCTGTGACGTTTACAGCCACATGGGCCAATAAAATCCTACATTACTTAAGCTAGTTTTCTGTACCCTAACAGATATCATCTCTAAGTCTTAATTTTCTGAGTGTCTTTGTGGTTTAAATTTTGCCAGTAAAGTACATAACATTGTGACCTACCCAATCAATATTATTTACATTCTAACTGACATTTATATAGCACCTGATAGATGTCAAAGAAAACTAATCTGATCATGGCAATGATTAGATGTTATGAGATAGCCAGAGATGGTATCGTCATCCCTCTTTTATATCTTAGGGGAGGGATTGGTAAATGACAGCCTGTGGGATCAACCAGGCCTGCTACTCAAATAATGTTTTATTGTAATACAGCTATGCACATTATTTTTCTTTTTTCTTCCTTCCTTCCTTCCTTCCTTCCTTCCTTCCTTCCTTCCTTCCTCCCTTAGTCTGTCTTTCTTTCCTTCCTTCCTTCCTTCCTTCCTTCCTTCCTTCCTTCCTTCCTTCCTACAAATTATCTATAGCTTCTTTGGCACTGCAACAAAAAAGTTGAGTAGTTGCAATAAAGACCACGTGACCTGCAAAGCCTAACATATTTACTGTCTGGACCTTTATGAAAATGTTGCCAACCCCGGATTTAGGAAATGGTGGACTAGACTTTCTTAAGGTCAAAGCCAGAGGCAGATCCAGAACTTGAACCCAAGTCTCCAAGCACAGCATTTTTTCCTGTGTAACAGAGTAGCCTGAGTGCCAAAGCCTTATGGGCAGAGGCAACCTTGGCAGCAATGTGGCTCTTCCTCCCCTGTCATCTTGGAAGGCAGCTACTCCCTGCCCATCCTTTGCCCTGGAAAGGAATCCTTTGCCAAGGAATTCTCTGCTCATAACTGCACTCGATCACAGCTGCAGCAGCACACAACATCGGGGGCACCATTTCTCCCACAGATACCACGAATATACTGTGGAATCTGACCCCACTGCATCGCGTGTGAATGGTTGCCCCAGAAATCTGTGACCTGTGGCTGATAAGAAGATTTGCTTGGCATTGTTCAGAGGGAACAAGAGCTCCAAAAGAGGGAACTGACTGAAGGTGGGACAGGTACTTTGAGGATGCTGGTGAGCTCCCCCACTCTAGAAGTGTGTGAACATGAGGTGAGAAGGCAGAAGAGATTCAGACATCAGATGGGGAGCTGGACTAGTTTACTCAGAAGATCTCACACAAACCAAACAGGCCATGTTTAAAAAAAGGAACAGAGAGACACCGAGCAGCAGATAAACAAAAATACACCATAAATGCAATTTTCTTCAGATTCCCTGAAAGAAGGAACCTTCCCCTCAACTTCCTTTTTTTAGCATGGCAGGGAGAAATGAGTCCCCAAAGAATCAAATTAATATTTTCCATCTACTATGAAACTGAAAGCCGCATTACCATCTTAGGAACTGATAAAATGGTCCAAGGAATCAATGCATTCACCCGTGAAGACTTCCAACACAGCCACTTGCTGCTTTCTCAAGTCTAATTAATTGGTAGGAAGTTTTTGATATGTTTCCATGATTTCATTACAGGTTTTATCCAGGACATGGGAGAAAAGGGAGAACAAAACATTTCCACCTCAGTGAGTTGACTTGCAAAGCAGCAGGAACAGGTGATTTCCAAAACCATGTTTCCCACTGCAGGCCCCGGGCATCCCTCTTGCTAGTGGTTCTGCAAGCTACTCAGACTGTAGAACTTACATATCAGTTAGAAAGAAGTTTCCTCTCTCTGAGGGACTTTGGGGTGCCAATTCCTCCTGATGCAAAGCATGGGAAGCATAGTATCCATAATGAGAAGAAATCTAAATTGATGTTGTTTTGAATTATGCTTCAGAATTTAATGAGCCCTCTCCAGTTTATTGCCCCAAACACTCAAAGAACCCCAACCTCAGAATTGGGAAGTCTGATCCAGGTTCCACTGGCAATGCTTGTTGAAATTAACTACTGAAGCATCATGAAATAAGAGTTTTAACGTTTAAAGAGACCTTAAGAATTTCTTATCAACACCGAAAAAACAAGCAGTCTAGTGAAGAAATGGGCAAAAGACATGAATAGACACTTTTTCTTTTCTTTTTTTTTTTAACATTTATTCATTTTTGAGAGTGAGAGAGACAGAGCATGAGCAGGGGAGGGGCAGAGAGAGAGGGAGACACAGAATCCGAAGCAGGCTCCAGTCTCCAAGCTGTCTGCACGGAGCCCAACGCGGGGCTTGAACTCATGGACGGCGAGATCATGACCTGAGCCGAAGTCAGACGCTCAACCAACTGAGCCACCCAGGCATCCCTTAGACACTTTTTCAAAGAAGACATTCAGATGGCCAACAGACACATGAAAAGACATTCAACATCACCCATCATCAGGGAAATACAAATCAAAACCACAATGAGACACCACTTCAAACCTGTCAGAATGGCTAACATTAACAACTCAAGAAGCAACAGATGTTGGAAAGGATGCGGAGGAAGGGGAACCCTCTTACACTGTTGGTGGGAATGTAAACTGGTGCAGCCTCTCTGGAAAACAGTATGGAGGTTCCTCAAAAAATTAAAAATGAACTACCCCATGACCCAGCAATTGTACTACTAGGTATTTATCCAAAGGAGACAAAAATGCTGATTTGAAGGGGTACATGCACCCCAATGTTTATAGCAGTGCTATCGACAATAGCCAAAAGGTGGAAAGAGCCCAAATGTCCATTGACTGATGAATGGGTAAAGAGATACATAAAATGGAATATTTTATATTTATGTAAAATTTATATTTCCATTTATATGTAAATGGAAATCTTGCCATTTACAACAACATGGATGAAACTAGAGGGTATTATGGTAAATGAAATAAGTCAGTCAGAGACAGAAAGATATCATATGATTTCACTCATATGTGGAATTTGAGAAACTCAACAGATGAACTAGGGGAAGGGAAGGAAAACTAAGGTAAAAACAGAGAAGAAGGCAAACCACAAAAGACTCTTAAATACAGAGAACAAACAGGGTTGCTGGAGGGGGATGGTTGGGAATGAGCTAAATGGGTGACTGTCATTAAGGAAGGTACTTTCCAGGATAAGCACTGCGTGTCATACATAAGAGAGGAGTCACTGGATTCTACTCCTGAAGCCAAGACTACATTGTATGTTAACCAACTTGAGTTTAAGAAAAAAGTTATCTTATCAAAAAAGGCTTAGAGGGGCCCCTGGGTGGCTCAGTCAGTTGAGCGTCCGACTTTGGCTCAGGTCATGATCTCGCTGTCCGTGAGTTCAAGCCCCGTGTTGGGCTCTGTGCTGACAGTCAGAGCCTGGAGCCTGTTTCAGATTCTGTGTCTCCCTCTCTCTCTGCCCCTCCCCCACTCATGCTCTGTCTCTCTCTCTCTCTCTCTCTCTCTCTCTCTGTCAAAAACTAAATAAACATTTTTAAAAAAGGCCCAGAGATGTGAATAATAATAACTTTCCACATTTGTACAGGGATTTCTGGTCTATAAAGTGCTGTTATAGCCATTACCTTTGTTAAGATAAAATAGCTTCTCCCAGATTTCAGTGTGCATTAGAGAGAGCAGACCATGTTCTGCTCAGCCTCAGCTTGTCTCCTGCTTTCTGCTGGTATTATGAACAAGGGAATAATCTGACAACTTAAAATAATGACTACAAGGAAAAAAAAAAAAACCCAGCCTTGCAGCAAACAAGTTGAGTTACGTTATGGCAGTGGAACTCACAGTCCCTGAAGTCTGTAATTTTCACTGAGGACAGGCAGTTCTCCAGGTCAGGTATGTGCCTGTATTTGTCTTTGCCCTGCTTAAAGAACATTAGAAATAGGATTTTCAAACACAAATTCTTTAAGGACACAACTTTAGTAGCCACAGCATCTTCCATTCTCTAATATGCATGAGAAAAGATTGCACATTTTGTCTGTAAGCCACTAACACTTGAAAAGCCATTTCTGGGGCTCAGGTCATGATCTCACAGTTAGTGAGTTTGAGTACTGCATTGGGCTCTGTGCTGACAGCATGGAGCCTTCTTGGGATTTCTGTTTCCCTCTCTCTCTGCCTCTCTCTCTCTCTCTCAAAAAATCAATAAACATAAAAAAATTAAAAAAAAAAAGCCATTTCTGAGTCATAGTCTGACCCATAGAACCACAGAATTTTAGATCCAGAGGACATTGACCACTGAGGATGTCTAGTCTAAGTATCTTGTTTTACTTATAAAAAGGAAAAAAATCCAAGACTCAGGACAATCATATATAGCAGACTCAGCAGACAGATAAACTTTAGTTTCTCTCTTGTCTTGTGGGAGACAGAACGTCCTTCTCAATCCTAACTTCTCCAAATACTGGATCATAGAACTTTAACAGAAGGTGCCTCTGATGTCTTATTTCAACTCATCATTTAGCAGATGACTAAATAAAGCCCAGTGTTAAAGGACTGTCCAACATGATAATTCTGTGCTAAAGAATATCAGAATATTCTAGAAACTCTAGTTTCCTTAGAATGGAACCACCCACATTTTTTGTTGTCATTGTTGCTATTGTTACAATTTTTTAAAAATAATATTAGTTTAAAAAATCTGATTACAAAGATAATCATGGTTATGACAGAAAATTTGAGAGACACACAAAATCAAAGTAACCCATAATCCCTATGTCTAGATAATTCCTGAAAACCTTTTTCTGATGGTATTTATGATTCATATTTAATGGTGTCATATTTACCCATCCTTTTGCAACTTGGTTTTTAAACTTAATATGTTGCGATCTTTTTATATTTTTATTTGACTCATTCAGTAGTCTGTTGCAACATCATGAATTATCCACTTAAACAGTTCATTTTACCAACAAAACCGGGAAGAAACGCTCATAACAATGTGGAGGGCTTTCTGAAGTCTACTTGGCTGCATTTCAAATGAATGTTTATCACAGATAATTTTTTAACTTGTTCTGTTGCCTCAGGGTGCATGATGTATGGTGCATAATGGCGGATCTAAGCAGTTTGGTGAAGTTACTCAACTTTACGTTAAGGAGCAAGAGAAGGCATGAGTTATCTGCCGTTGTGGGCAGACGGCTCCCTGTATATATGTGAAAGGAGAACTGTAATAGTTCTAGAATGTGCTCACGGGCTGTGGCTGGTTTTTCTGGTAGGGTTATGGCACTGGAGAAAGAAATCTGTTAGAGGCTCATTAGCTTCCACAGTAGCAAAGGAATCTTGCAGCCGGCTGGAGACCTCCTACAGGATTTAGGACATATGCCTTTTGTTGCTGTCTGAAACCATAGTGACTGCATGTTGTGGAAATTAAAAAATCAGCAGGCAGTGGGAAAATAAAGAAACTGAGACAATAGAAGCAGTGTTGGAGCTATGGGAAAGTGGGCACCAGCCCTCCATCTTCAGGGGCACTCACTGTTACTTTCCATGGGTCTGACCAAAATGCTTGGTGGACATACCAGTGAGGAGGGAGGGGACAGTCATTTGAGAGGTCATATTAGCTCTTTAGGGTAACAGACCCATTGTTGGAAACCTTGTTGCTTCTGCTTTGGTGGTATTGGCTAGGAGAGGCAATGAGAAGCATTTGAAGCATATTTGAAAGGATTTAGAGGGTAAAGAAAAGGAATAAACCAAGGTTAATTTTGGGGTCTCAAACTTAATAATTAAAAGGTGGATGGAATGGAAGTTTGCAGTAGCCACTGGTATCTTGGAGCTAGAGTAAAATGGACATATGTGGATATCTACATTTTGGAGTGGTTGACAAAAATGACATTGAATCGGTAGGAACAGGCAAGATTTTTGAGAGCTCTGATAAGAGAAACGAATGAAGACTGTTCAGGTCTGGTCGTGAAGCCCCACGTTTAGAGAAGCAGGGCAATGTCAGG